CTGGCTGGGGGCAATAAGGCGTAAATTCGAAGCGTGTGCTCCACTTACACATCATTATGCCCCGAGAAGGGGAAGGAGAGCTGCATCTTGTCACACGTCTGTGGCAAAATTGCTCTGTGTGTAAATAGCTCTTCAGCCTTTGATGTTGAGCAGCGAGGAAAATAATCCTCGGAGCAGGGCTGGGCAGGAGCAGCAGGCTCAGCAGCCCCGGCCAGCAGCCGGCAATGCAGCTAGCAGACCCTCAGCCATCTCTGAGCCCCTTCCCCAGCACCCAGTCTACACAGGTAGACTGCCCCCTGCCATCTGTTCCTCAAAGGATTATTTTCTCTAGTCCTCTCATGGAAAAGTAAGCAGAAATGCTTACATGCACTTAAGTGAGAAGCAGAGAAAGAAAGAGAAAGAGAGGAACAAGGTGTTTGCATGAAGTCTGGCTAGAACTAGGTGAGACCAGCCAATGCGGAGGGACGCCTCCCAGAGGTGAGTAGGGGGACACAAGGCAGTAGCACCTTGGAGTCTGTTCACTCATTGACTCATTCAAGAAGACACATAGTCCCTAACTTCTTGAAGCTTACACTCTAGTGGGAAGAGACATGTTCCAAAAATAATCACATAACCATCAAGTTACACACTTTTTTTGAAAGAGGTCTCCCATCTGCTGGCTCACCTCTACCACCCCTGACTCAAATGCCCACAACAGCTGAACTGTGCCAGGTCAAAGCCAGGAGCCGGCCGGCGCCATGAATCACTAGGCTAATCCTCCACCTGCGGCACCGGCACCCCGGGTTCTAGTCCCGGTTGGGGCACCAGATTCTGTCCCAGTTGCTCCTCTTCCAGGCCAGCTCTCTGCTGTGGCCCGGGAAGGCAGTGGAGGATGGCCCAAGTGCTTGGGCCCTGCACCCGCATGGGAGACCAGGAGAAGCACCTGGCTCCTGGCTCCAGATCTGCCGTTTGGGAGGTGAACCAACGGCAAAGGAAGACCTTTCTCTCTGTCTCTCTCTCTCTCTCACCAACTCTGCCTGTCAAAAAAAAAAGCCAGGCGCCAAGAACTCATTCCAGGTCTGCAACATGAGTGGAAGGGACCCAAGTACTTGAGCCGTCACTACTGCTTCCCAGGGTGTGCATTAGCGGGAAGCTGGACTCCGGAGCAGAGGCAGGACTGGAACTTGGGCACTCTGATACAGACTGCAGACATCCCGAGTCAGGGCTTAGCCCTTACACCAAATGCTTGCTCCTAGTTACACACTCTGATGTGCTGGAAAGGAAAACTACAGGGAGTGTGAGGTTGTAACACCTGAAGCCCGATGTAGGAGGAGGCTGGGGTGATCAAGCCAGGCTCCTGGGAGGAAGTGGCTTTGCAGGAGCTGGCCAGGCAGAAGCAGCAGCCTGTGGAAAGACTCTGTGTGGAGACGCTCGCTGCATATCCCAGGAACAGCAGAGGCCCACTGAGGCATGTGGATGAGGGAGAAAGGCCAATGGCCTGAGGACTGGAGGCTTCCTCCTAAATACACCAGGAAGCCACCACGGGATTTTAGGGCTCATCCTGGTGGCCCTGGCTCAATCGAGAACTTGGCCATCACAAAGCATCACTTAGCTAAAGTCACCCGTCAGCTCCCCGGCCCTGACCAACCCTGACCTGGGTCAGCTCACACCTGGTATATTTGTCAACCTGCCCAGCGGGAAGGGTGGGGAAAAGCAGATGAGTGTTCAGCTTCCAGGGGCCTTGGAGCATGAGGGGTGTGTCCCTGTTGGCTCCCTGTCTGCCCCTCCTCCACAGGGAAAGATGACAGCTTGAGAGGCTTCAGTTCTTCACCTGCTACATAGGGCAGACGCTCGGTCAGTGATGAAATTCGCAGGTGGGGGAGACCTTGGCTATCCCCTAGATCTTCCATCTCTTCTCTAAGTGGGGAAACTGGGGGTGGCCCGCATAATCAGGTCAGGATCCCTGCTGGACGTGTCCTTGCTGTGTGACCTTGCAACAATCACTTTTCTCTCAGGTCTCTGTTTCCTTGTCTGCAAAGTCGGGGCGAACGAGGTGACTGGTCAGACCCCTTTGGGTTCTTATGCTTTGTCATCGTCCTCTGGCCTCAGGGAGGGGTAGTGCCTTTACCCACATCCTCAGCATGTTTGGCAGAGCTGACTTCAGAAATAGACCTCGCGGTCTACCTCTAGCACAATATGCTAAATCCAAGGACCAAATGGTGGGGCAAGGGACACCAAGGGAGTTGGAACTTGGAAGAATCTGAAGCTAAGCTGAAATTTACTTTTCCTTACAAATGTCTTCATACAGATAGGGGAATTAATGGGATAAGCAGTTTTGGATACAGGATATTTAGAGTGTCCACAGAGAAAAGCCATATTGGAGCCCCCCAGCAGTCGCTCCAGGTGTGTTCAACCCCTCTCCATGGCTGTGCTAACTATGAAATGCTCTTATCTGTTCGTTTCAGTGGTCCCTAAGAGCGTCTCTCCAGGGGACAAGTTTATTAGCCAAGTTCAATTGCAGTATGCAGTCATGATGATAAAACCCAGTTCTTTTAAAAAACTTCATTTGTTATGAACATTGTGGTACTTCCAGTGTTCTTCCCAGTGGGAAAGCAAAGAGTAAGGCCAGGCTGTTCTGCAGTGGGCAGCTGGCCAGGGACTCAGTGCTATCTTATATAGCAAAGAGTAGACTCTGGTATTTTGCTAGTCCTTCCTACAAGTTCTGAAGGCAGCTAGTAGGTCTTATACTTCTTTACAGTCCCCATGATCCTTGCACATAGTAGGAGCATGTGCATATGAATATTGATTGGCTGATGGAAAAAGCAAGACAGGGGCATCCTATGTCCTGGACATGTCCCAATGACAAAGCCCCTGATGTCTCTCCCAGGACACACAGATACACACACACACACACACACACACACACACACTCGGAAAATCAGACAGATATGGATTTGAATCTCAACTTCTCTACTCGCTGGCTGTGTGATCTTGAGCAAGTTATGTCACCTGTCTGGGCCCTGGATCTCTCTGTACAGTGGGAAAAGCAATACCACCTGTGTCACAGTTGCAAGGGTTTAACCAGATAACATGGATGAGTGTCTAGCACAGTGTCTGGCACGTAGTGGGGTCCCTCTCCCTCGCTTCTTGCAGCCATTGAGATCTGCAGCTACTGATGCTCACTCCTGCTGTTTACCTGTCTCTGCACTGGAGCACTGGAAGCCAGCAGGCCTCCCCGTGGCCTCCCTGCTGCGGAATTGGCCAGTGCAATATAGCATGGTCATGGAGGTGGCCTGGGCCACAGTCTCAGTGGCTGCTGGAGTCCAGTGCAGTAGGCCTGGCTCCCTGCCAGCCAGTTTTGCCAGATACATCTTGGCTTCAGCCTGAGGTTCCAAGCCAGTTATAAAATCACAAAAACCCATAGCATTTGTAGAAAGATTTTATAATTTTCCAAGTTCTTTTGTGGGTATTATCTCAGCTGAGCCTCTTGGTAACCTAGAGAGGTAACAAAGGCAAGGGCTATTAGATCCCCATTTTATAAATCATTGAAGCTTGGAGGGTTTATTCCATTCACCCAAAGACATGTAACTAGTAAGTGGCACCCTCAAAATTTGGACAAAGTTCCATTCCTTGTCCTGGTCTTTTCCCACACAGTCACTCTCCATCTTCATAGTCATGCTCTCATCAAGTCCCTACTGTGTGCCAGCAATGTGCTCCTTGTGCTGGGGTTCAGAAATGAGAGGCAGAGCCAAATTCAGGAGGGAGGCAGAATTGGTTATCAACAGCCACATGCAGTGGATATGTGGTGAAGGAGCAGGGAGAATGGTGAGGAGGGACAGTGGCCCAGCTTGGTCCAGTGTCTCAGGGAGGCTTCCTGAAGAAGACATGTGTCAGCCCAGCCTGGCAGAACAGCTAGAGGTTGCCCAGGCAGAGAGAAGGCAGCAGAAGCAGCAAGCAGAAGACAATCATATGTCAGTCAGCAGGATGTAGCCCAGGGTGCTGCCAGTGCTTTGTTCTGACTCCACCCACTCATTCAGTCAACATATATATGTGGGGCACCTCCTATGCCAGGTGCATGCTAGCCACTAGGGATGGAAACCTCCGTGAGCAAGCAGACACAGTCCCTGGGCTTGTGCATTTACCTTCTGTTGGATGCCGGTGGACTTGGGTGGAAGGCAGTACTGTGGAAGGTAGGAGGCATTGGTGGGGTACATCACAGAGGCTGAGTGTGGACGGTCTGGATTTTAGCATAAAGGGATTGGGGAGCTCTGGCAGATTTCCAGTACAAGATTAACATGGTCAGGTTTGCCCTCAGAAAGAGTGAGCGATGACAGCTTAGAGGACGGACTGGAGAAGGTTGTCTGAAATCCGGGAGTCCAGCTAGGAAATCAGTGGCCCAGGCAAGAAGCACTTGGCTCCTAATTACAGCAGTATGCAAGGAGAAAGGCTCCATTCAAGACACGTGGGTAGTGTTACAGTCTCGCTGGCTGGCTAGACGTGGAGGAGGAGAGGATGCTGATTCTGAGCCCTCAGCCAGTGGCAGTACTGCTCCCCAAGGCAGGAATACAAGAGAATGGCCATGGAGTGGGGAAGCTGAGCGAGGAGGTGTGTCCTTCTGGCACCTGCTGAGCATCAGGGACCTGTGAGACACCTGAAGGGTGTTTGTCAGACACAGAGATCTGGTGTTTGGAGGCTGGGTGAGAGCTCAGGCCAGAGGAGTGGATTGGAGATGATGGTTAGTGTGTGGAAGTGGACAGGATATCCCAAGGCGAGTCTACAGAGGGAGAGGAGACCAGATCCTAGTCCACAAATCCCAAATGATGTCCAGATGTGTTCTTTGATCCCACTTGGCTAAAGTTGGGGTGTCAGCCAGAGTGAGAAATTTCTGGTCCCCAAGAAAGGTCGGTTGTGATGGGTTGTGGGGACTCTGGTCCACTCTGGCATTTCTGGGGTCTTGCCAGTCTCTGGAGCCCAGCCTGAAGTCACCATGTGCTTCTCTCTCTCTCTCTTCTCTCCTTCAGGTGTTTACAAAATATGGGAAGTGTTACATGTTTAACTCAGGCGAGGACGGCAAGCCGCTGCTCACCACGGTCAAGGGAGGGACAGGCAACGGGCTGGAGATCATGCTGGACATTCAGCAGGATGAGTACCTGCCCATCTGGGGAGAAACAGGTGAGCAGTGCACAGCGACAGGGCGCTGGGAGGAGGCAGGCGGGGAGCAGCACCGACACCAAGACTGTTTCGGCTCAGGTGGACAGTCTGACCAGCTGCTCTTGGGCAAAGGGTGGGTGACATGGTGGCCAATGATAATGGAGCCCCTGGCACGGGGTGTGTTGCCCCTGGAGAGGGCGAGATGATGGGAGTATCAGAGAGGGAGGGCATGAGGGTAAGGGCAGGCTTGGAGAAGGTTTGAAGTAGGGCTGCTGGAGCAGATGAGTGGCCTGGTTTCAGGAGAAGGGGATAGGAGGCACCAGCATCTTCCTCTCCCAGCCTGATTATCCCAACCCAGCCAGCCGGTCCAAATGGGGAAAGAAAGCAGGCTCCTGCCCAGTGGGCTATGAACCATTGGAAAACCAAAGGCCTAGAACTGGGAGACCTGGTGCCTGCCTGTGTGAGCCCAGGGTGTGGGGTGGTAGGGACCCACACGTGTAGATACTAAAGCTGAGTTCTTGTGTTCATTGCTTATGCAGCAAACTCATGTACACTGTCTCGGGCTTTGCACCAAAGTAAGGAGATTCAGGTGAATCCTGGCAGTCTCACCCTGCCTGGAGCTTGAGCTGTCCCCACCAAGCATCATTTGCTTTAACCATTTCCTGTGAGGTTGGGTAGCTGGGGAAGGAGGAGGGGTTTGAAGCAGGGGCAGGGGTAGGGGCAGATGAAATGGGGCAGAGAAGAAACTAGCCAGTGCGTCGAGTCAGGTTTTCTGGAATGATGGGCATGTCTGTGCCCTCCAGGGTTAGCCGCTAGCCCCTGTGGCTGCCGAAAAGCTAAGATTTTCCTATCCTTTCATTCCTGTTGATGTAAAACTGGGTGGCCACAGGGGCTAGCGGCTGTGCGCCAGAGGGCAGCAGGTGCACCAGGGCACAGCCCCACATGGCTCTCTTGGCTTCTTGGGTTTCAGCCTTTGTGCCCACCTCCCAGATTCCTCTGGGGCCATCCTGCCTTCATCCCTGGCCTTCCTGTCCTCACTGCCTTGAGTGGCAGGCAGAACTCCTTGTTCTGTCTGCTAGGGAGGGAGGCTGAGGTTAGGCAACTTCCCTGAGGCCACCCCGTCAGTTCCTCATCTGCAGGCCGAGATGTCACTGAGCAATCGGCTGGTGCTTGGAGTCCCCTCAAAGCCGCTCGCCTCCCAGGCTGGGGGGAGAAGGGGGTAACCAGCACAGCCGCTGAAGGGCAAGAGGTGGGCTCTGGCAGGTGAGGGACGCTTGGGTGTGAAGTTGCCCTAGAACTGTGGGCACAGGCAGGCCTGGCTCACCAAGCCACCTGGCACCATGGACACCGTCCCGCTTGCTGGAAATTTCCCCCTCTCAGAGCCCAGGCCATGCTGGGAGGTACATAAGTGATGGTGGCAAGAAACAAACTGAAATGTGGCTGTGGCTGGAGAGGCAGCTTAGAGACAGGCAGCATCAAGGGGGAGAGAGAGTGGTGTGCTGAGGTCAGACAGACCCAAGACCAAACCCAGCTCTTCCTTTCCTAGCGACCTGACTGAGGGCAAGAGAAGGTGCCTCTGTGTGCTCCTCTATGAAATGGACAAGGACAAAACAGATGAGAGCCACGCACTTTACAGGGTGTCTGAAAGCTCCAACGGGAGACTCTGCAAACTACTCAGGGGAACGCTGACCACAACCCTAGCAGTGGAGGAGAGGCGGGCATCACCAGAGGCAGAGCAGGTGCAGAGACCCCACCCCTGCAGCCCTGTTCTGCTCAAAGCAGAGCCTTGGGTGCCTTCCTGCCTTGCTCTGTGGACACCCCCACCTCTCAGAAACCTAAGAAAGCCAGGCAGGAACCACTGCCCTGGGCGTATTTCCCTTGGGAAAGGTAGCAATGGTTTGCAAGACCCCTTAGCAAAAGGCAGCTCCTATGGAGGGACCCAGCTCCCGGGACTCAGGCTTAGACAGTAGACAATGACGCTATGAAAATTATCAAAAATGCCCCATTTTGTGGGGTACGCTAGCACAAAAATGTGTGCTGGCGTACCCCACAGCAGGGGGCCCTGTTGGACCAACAACTCTGGCCATATTGTATGCCATTTTAAAGGAGCAGAGCTCGTGCATGTGTGGACCCAAAACAGGCTCCAAGGGCATTAGGAGTCTGGGATGCACGTGTTCTGTGGATGAAAAGGGTCCAGGAACCGTGGCTAGACAACATGCAACACGTGTGTTATCACAGGAGTGCTTTATTGTGCTATGTCAGGAGCCTCCACGATAGGAATAGCACACACAACATTCACTTCCCAAATGCCTCAGGCCATGGCAACCTTCTTCATGGAGGAGCTTACAAAATATACTTTTGGAAAAGCTGACCTAGACTACAGAAGTGCAGGTTTCACGGCCAGGGTTTTCTAAAGGAAATTAAATTGAAGACAGGTGGGAGGTTGTTAAAAATGAAAGTCTGTGTAGAAACCTCTGAGTAACTTCAAAGATAAAAGAAATAGGCAGCAGGTTATCTAGGTTGCACATAAGAGAGGCCTGAATCAAACAAGCTTAGGCATAAAAGGAATTGCATTGCCCTCAGAATCAAGGCAAGCTCACGCAGCCAGCCAGCGGGAGGGGGAGGCCGTGGTGCCAGACACAACAGGAGCCAAGGGCTGCTGTGCCCTGGGACCCCTCACCTCTCCTCTCCGGGACCCTTTCATTCTCACTAGATGCAGCCTTTACACACACAAGCACGTGCAGGCATATACACATGCATGCACACATGTGAATATACACACATGTGCACACACACATGATTTTCACACATGGTTTCCTGTAGACCCCCAGTTGTATAGCTTACTGATCTACCACCAGCACGGGACTTTTGTAACTATCTCACTGATGCAGCAAAAAGAAAAACAAAGGAGGAGATCATTGGCTCAGCTTAGTCACATGCCCAGCCCTGGGCCCATCAGCAGTGAGCAGGGGAGCGGATTCATGGGCAGACCCTGGGTGAATGGCACAGGGGAGGAGTCCCGAGGGGCCTCTGTGGAGCGGCTAGGCCTGTGAATGGCTGTGCTGGGGGAACTAGCATGTTTGCGTGTGGCAAGGGGGTTGCATCTTAGGAAACTGGATCAGTGTACAGGGAGCTCTCTAAGGAACTCTAGCTCTAAGTGGACAGGTTTAAATGCTGGCAAGACCACAAGTAGGGCACTCCCTTTCTCCCCTCCTTTCATCCCTCATTCACTACAATGCAAAACACACTTTTTTATGAAATATAATCAGCCTTGATTTCCCCAAATTCCAATGTTAAAGGAGCATGAATGTAACATTCGACATCTTCTAAGGGGGGATTGTTTTTAAAGCCAATGTTCCGATAGGGACAAAGCCCTGGCCCTGTTATCCCCCCGGTCTCTGCGGCCTCACGCTACCCCACCTTGTTAACCTGCCTCTGGCCACACTGGCTTCCTTTACTGTTTTTTAAATTTACTTATTTTTCATTTTATTTAAAAGGCCAAGACAGAGATGGACAGACGAGAGAGATCTCTTGTCCGGTGGTTCAATCCCCAGGTGCCTGCATCAGCCAGTGTTGGCCAGGCCAAAGTTGGGAGCCAGAAACACAATCCAAGTGTTCCACTGGAGTGCAGGGACTCAAACACTTGAGCCATCCTCTGCTGCCTCCCAGGGTGTGTGCACCTCGGCAGGAAGCTGGAAACGGGAAGGAGCTGGGACTCACACCCAGGCATTCCTTGTGGAATGCAAGCAGCCCACCCGCTTCTGCCTCCTGACTGCTCCGAGAGCAGTCTGACTTCAGGGCATCACGATCACGCTTCCCTCTGCCCAGCACTCTCTCTGCTCTGACATCTGCATGGCTGATGGCTTCCCTGTGTCCAGCCTTCGCTCAGATGGCACCTTCTCGGTGAGCCCAACCCTGACGGCCCAATCTAAAATTAGACCCTGCCTCAGTCCTCTCCCCCTCATCTGCTCGATTTTGCCTTGTCCCTATGACATGTTCCCTTCATACATACCACGGGATTTACTTAAGTTCTACTTCCTGTCCCCTTCCACTGAAACATAGGGCCCAAGAGCTCAGGACTCTTGGACTGATATGCTGGAGCAATAAATACGTGTTTAGAGAACCAAAAACTGCTGGACTCGTGCAAACTGCAGGAGCCCAGGCGAGGGAGAAACTAACACTAACGAGCAGTCCTGGGCGTCTTCCCAGGACGCTGCTCACTGGCCGGGGTCAGCACCGTGGGAAGAGGAAGGAGCGGGGCCCAGAGAGGTTGAGTCAGCTCCCCGAGGACACACACCTAGTGAAGACAGTGAGTCAGGGCAAAACCAGGATCAGAACCCAAAAGCAACGCTCCCGCCACTAAATTCCTTTAAAGTTCCGAGCGGGATTGTGAAAGCGCTGCCCCAGTGGTGGCGGGAGAAAAGAGGTGGGGGCAACGCACTGGCGGCCTGATGACAGGTCTGTGCTGGCGTCCTTTGCCGTCCTCTGCTCTGTTCTCCTTTGAGAGCGGGATCACACGTGGAATGAAAGCTTGAGCGCCGTCTTTGCACACCAGGCAGATGGAAGCAGAGCTCCGGAGCAGCTGGAAAAGGGGGCACCAGTTTGCCTTCTCCTTTGTTCTCGGGGGCCGCCCCAGAGCGTCCCCGAGACGCGCTCAGTCTGCAGGGAGCCCAGTTTGAACACCGTTGGATAGCAGGTGTCTGTTCATGAGCTGTGTCTGTCCAGCTCTAAGAACTGCCTCCTTTTTGCCAAGGCAGTGGAGGGAGCTCGTGGGAGGTCTGTGGAGCGCCAGAGCCGAGGGTCTCAGCCTCTGATCAAACCCGGGGCACCTCACCAAGCAGATGTGTGGGTGGGAGGGTCCCACCACAGGCCCCACCTCAATAGCAGCCAAGGAGGGTTTTTTCCTTTCTTTGTTACACATACAAACCTTCTGGGACAAAGTCCGTAGTTGTCAACAAATGTTGACAGAGACCAAGTGGATGAGCGGTGACTGACTCGGCAAAATAGGCTGAGAAATAAGA